CCATTATAGTTATAATAGGTTATTTGTTACAGTTACAATAAGTCATTTATTATAATTATAATAGTCATTATCTTTAATAATTATTATAATTACTATGTTCAGTTTTTGTATTTGTTATTTCTTATATATTTATTATTTTCGTATTTTCTAATTATCATGTTTTATAATTGGTTGTAGTAGTTACTACCTTCGATTATTGCATTACCATGTTTTTATTTTTTATTTTTTCTTATCACTGTATTGATTATTATATCTTAACATTAGTTGATATCGTAACTGATAACAAAAATGATGAAAAAGGAATAGTTCAGCATGAAATTTTTGCTGATATGATTAGTTAATGAATATCTTTCCATGAAATTTTATTCAAAATTAAATAAAAAATAATAATAAAATGAATGAGAATTGAATTTTATTGAATTACTTATATGAATAATAGTCTAATACCTCAAAATTTGCATTTACTTATATGTTGCAACATCTGATGTTGATTATAAATAACTTAAGAATCAATTCCAGGATTTTTGATTGGATGAAAAATATTTCAATCAACAAATGATATTTTTGTAGCATTTTAAAATATATTTTAAATGATTGGATTAGGGAATGAAGAAAAAGATCAAATGAAAAATTTATTCAATCACTAAAATCAAATTAAGCGTAAAATGTGATAAAATGCGGGAAAGTATTGTTTAACAAAAAATGAAAATATGTCTAAAATTGGTAAAGAAAGAAAAATTTGTTAGTGAACTGATGGAAAAACTATTATCCTAACATTGCTCATAATATTTTATCGCGGCTTATTTGCTGAATAATTTGCATAACGTTTATCAGTTAATTACGCCTAAATTTCCCTTTAAAACTTAATATTCTTGATATTTGCACTACGATCTTCCTCTTAGAAAAAAAAAGGGAAGAAAAAAAAAACTGTATCATTATTGGAAATAAAATTTAGTTTTAATCCCAAATGTTAACTTACTTAAGCTTAAATTTAAGTGTCATGTATATTGAACGTTCAGTTGATCGGATTGATGAGCAACGTTTTTTTTTTTTTTTTTGTAAAAAAAAGGAAGAAATCTTATCAACTGTATGATAAAGTTTGGTTTGATTTAATCATCAATATCATGGAATCCGTTATAAGAAAATGTGATCTTTTCTTTTCTTGTAAACAAGAAAAAAAAAAAAAAAGAAATTGTTCTACAGGTACAAGATGATACGTCGGAAAAAAGTTAGAAAAAGAATCTTATTGCATGATATTATGATTTCAATAAGTTGTTTGCATTGGTTTATACATTTTTCCTTCTTTCTTTGACATTATTTGATGATATATTCAGATTTTATTTTGATTTAAAAAATAAAAATAAAATTATTGATCAATTTGAAAACAATTACAATAATCTTATCAGCAAATAATCCTTATCATTTGATAGTTGTATTATTAGCAAATGAGAAAAAAATAAAAATGTATAACTTTAAGGAGAAATCAAAGCAAACAATCAGTATGCAATACTCAAAATACATTTGTTTTAATATGAAAAATGAACAAATTATTGATATAGAATTTAGAATTATTTAACATAAAACTCATTAAAATTGAACAAAATTTTATGAAATAATCAAAAAATTAATAAAAATATTTTTGAATTTCTAACATTACAATATTATGATATATAAAATTTATAATATTGTAAAAAATTTTTTCAAATTAGAATAAGCAAAAGTGATAATATTAAAAATGATATGATATGATATGATATCATCATTTTTGCATCCTAATTTACATTTCATTCTTTTGAGATATGAAGCAAAACAAAAAAACAAAAAAAAAGTGATAGTTGGAAAAATAAGATGAAGGAATTTGAATTCATTCTAAGGTAAAGCATAATGAAAAAAGCAAGCCTCTTATCAAAACCGTACTTTCCTCCATATACACACACACACACATATACACACACACACACACACACGCACACACACACACACACAGAATATTATTAACACCTTTTGTGATAAGCAAATACAACATACGTTCTTTTCTTTTTTAATGCTCAGTCTTAAATCAGAATGTGATATACTTTTCGCGTTCCATTTAGATTGTAAGCAGAATTGTCAACCTGAATTATTTATGAAGAAAAGGAAAAAGAAAAAAAACATTTAAAGAATTTTAAATTTAAAAAAAAAAGAGAATGCAAATATCATTTGGTACACTATCAATTATTAGTCATTTCATTTCATTTTTTTCTTTTTCATCATTTAGAATACTATTAGTTAATTCGTAATCATTTTATCTATCAATGTAAATATATAATTGCAACAGTTTAAGTAAGACTTTGTTTTTTTAGAAAAAAAATATTTGTTTGAGATGAAAATGTGAGATATTTTCAACAAATTGAAATTTGTAAATGTTTAAATTTTACACATATTAGGATATGATAAAACGAATTACAGTAAGAAATAATTAATGAAACAAATTATGAAATGATTAATAAAATGAATTTAACAGGAGAAAGAAAGAGAAACAAGCAAGAGAGAGGTAAAATTAATCAGCTCTATTATTTGGCTGATTAATTTAAATTATGCCTATTTAAAAAAAAAAAAAAAGAAATTGAAGAGTTTTTTGAAAGCATTTTAAAAATATGATATGTTACTAATTCGATGAACAAATAATAAAGTCGTCGAGATATTAATAATGAAAAAGTAATTTAGCAAGTCTGCAAGTAAACACAAAATTGACAATTTTATTCACTAAAATGAAAGAAACAGCAAAGAGATGGAAGAAGAACGATACTATTATGGAATTGAGAAAAAAATTAACAACTTATAAGCAAGTAATAAATAATAACAGTAATAAAATGTTATCATTAAAATAAGGACTAAGCATAGAAATATAACTTATCAGTTTAAAATGTGCCTTTCAGCTTCTTTCATGATTCTTCTTATGTAATTTCAAATACCGATAATCTAGGAGACCTTTACCGCAGGCAATACAGTAGAAGAGCGGTCTATTTTTGTTGTGAGTTGCCATGTGGTTTTTCAAATGTTGTTTTTGTCTGAAACTTTTATTGCACATCGGACAAGTGTACAGCTTCACATTAGTGTGAGTTATCATATGAACTTCCTTGATATCTAATCGAGAGAAACTTTTCCCGCATATCGGACAATTGTACAACTTCTCACCGGTATGCATCATTTTATGCAATTTCATATTTGTCATAACCTTTCCACATACACCACATTGCAATTTCTTCCTTTTCGATTTCTTCCCTATGAATTTTTCCATACTTCTTCGTTTAACGTCCTCTTCTTTGACTGTCGAGTTCATTCTCACTGTTAAATTTTGACTATTCAATTCATCTGCATGTATTTTAGCAGCTACGTTGGCCAATAGCATCAAATTTCCTATTTCTTCGTCACTTAATCCCTACACTGATAAATCCAACGGTGCTGTTTGTTCTGTTTGCACCTCCTCAAATTATATGAAATTATCAATCTCACACTGTGTTAAAATTTTGAAATCTTCAAAATACTGTAATGCCGCGTTGTATTTTTAACTTTAAATGAACTTACTGTCGTTTGAATGTTGTCCAGTTGGAAAAAGAAAAAGGCGAAATAAATGAAATACATATTGAAGAGAGTAATTTCTTTGCCTATTCTGAAAAATATTCAAGTTTACTAATGCAATGTATGGTTATCCATAAGAAATAGGACCGCCTGCTGTTTCATATTTACGTAATAGAAAAATTTCTTATGGTAAATATTTTTCCAAATATATTACCATTGAAAAAACGAACGGTTTCGATTTACTGCTAGTAGTCATAATTGCATTTCTCATTATAACAATAAGCATAAGAAGTTATCCACGCTGCAGATTGGTCGCAAACTTCCCAAAGCGAAGTCTTCGCAATATTCAAAGTTGCAAATTTAATAAAAAGATAATTTTGTTTCAAACAGGTCCATCGTGAAATTCCAAAATCTTTTACAACACGATACCTTGTGAAGCAATACATTCTCTACCGAAATAAATGAAATAGAACTTATTGATTAAAAGTCGCGGAAGAGAGTTTGACACAAATGGCCAGTCACTTCTTCTGTTAGGTATTGTTAAAGTATCGTCTGTATAAATGCTCATCCAAATGGAAGTCATCCAAATGACAATCAAATCGAACAATATTTCATAAAGCGTTAAATTACAATGATTTTAGCATTTTCATTACTTTCCATCCTTTTTGTAATAATTTGCAATTTTTAAAATAAAAACTGAGCATGAATATTGTTATTAATACCATTGATGTTTCCCTTAAACCTTTCATTCTTAAAAAGGTTTTCCCTTTATCATCAGAAAACAAGATGAATGCAACATATACTTCCAGAAGTTACTCATTTGCGGGTATTGTGATCTCGCGGGATCTAATCTGACATCCTAATCCGCATTACAATCTTATCATCAAAAAGCTTTCTCTCTGTTAAATCATGTAAACTAATTAATTCAAAAAGTAATAAGACAGTGATAATTTTTGAGTTAGTATCCTACCCAAAGAGCCCAATGTGCGGTAGCAAAGGGATTCATCTATGCAATCGCTGAGTTATATCTGCGAAGGACATATATATTTATATATCCTTCACACAGCATAACATTCTTTTTTGTATTCTTCATATTGGTGTCTTTAAAACTCATTTGGTTGTGACGTGTTTTTTGGAGCTTAGCTTTACATGTTAATTTATGTTTTGGAATTCTTAACGATTATACGACGTGAATGTTATTTCTTTTATTCAGTGGTTTAATTACCCAAGTTTGAGATGAAAATGAAGAATTTTGCAATTCTCTGCCACATTGCACAAGAAATTCATAAGAATACAAAGGAAATTTTTCGATTTTATTGTGCTACGAACCGGAAAATTCAACTGGACGAAGTTGTGGAATAGCGATATGTCAGTCATTTCTACTTTCATCGCTTTTTGTACTTGCAACAGTGATCAGGCATCATTTGAGGACAGTATTTCCAGTAATAGCAAGGCGATTTGGATGAAACTTGTATGTAATTGATATTATAATCGAAGTAGAAAATGAAGCCAAAGCAAATTGTCATGAACTTCCGTTTCCTTTTATTTCATTTATTTATTGATAAATTTATGTGAGATGCTTTTGCTGATAAATGTCGTCATAGCCATTATCACCATGCTATCACTCCGTTACTATCATTCAAGTGCTTATTAGACCTTCCAAATTTCATTAATGTGCACTTTTTGTGGGTTAAAAATATTTTTTCCATTTTTAAAATCGTGAAATCTTCAAAGTTTCACGAACTTTTCCTTTACTCAACAAATTGGGAAACTATATTAGAGAATGAATATGGAGTGTGAATAAATGATTTGATGAAATCATTCAGCGTGTATAAATCAATAGTATGGATTATGAAAAATGTAGCAATGCAGTTTTTCCCTTTTGTTAAATTGCTCAGTTTTGACGGGTTGGAAAAATCGAAGGGAAATAAAACAAAATTGTGCAAAAAATATTGCGACTGCTTTGCATAAACTAATATTCACAATGCAATATAACAGTTAAAATGAAATTTTTCAGTATCGAGCACTGCTACAATTGCATTATTACACGTGAACATAGATTATGAATAGATGGTCTGCCACTCCCATTTGGACGAATATTTGTACAGACGATATTGGAACAATACCTAACAGGAGTGACTGGTCGTTTGTGTCAAACTCTCTTCCACGAATTTTATCCGGTAAGATTTATTTCATTTATTTTGATAGAGAATGTCATCTGCTTTTCAATGTATCACGTTATGAGAGATTTCGGAATTTCACGACGAATCTGTAAATGAGCTTTTTTTTTAAGACAAATTATCTTTTTATTAAATTTGTCTATCGCGAAGGCTTCGTTTTGGAACGTTTGTCACCGATTTACAGTGTGAATGACTTCTTATGCATATCGTTTGTGTGAGAAAAGCAATTATATTTATAGTAACAAGAAATCGAAACCTTTTGCTTTCAATATTAATATATTTGGGTGAATATTAGCTGGAAGAAATTTCTCCATTACGCAGTTATCAAACAGCAGGC